CTGTGATTCCATTCTTGGAAACATTTTCCAAACTCATCAGTTTGGATGGTTGACAGCACCTCCCTCATTTATTTCTTCACTTCTAAGTTGTCAAATCACTGTCCTTTAATGTCCTTCTTCAGTTGCAGAAACAGAAAGAAGTCACACAGAGTGAGGTCGGGTGAGTCAAGTGCGTGGGACAAGAGAGTCATGTTGGTTTTGCCAAAAACTGGTGCACTGAAGTGACTGTGGTAGTGGTGCACTGTCGTTGTGACAAAACTAGTCCCTCTTCTGCCACACATTGGGCCTTTTTGGTCACACACTGTTACTCAATCTTTTTAGAACCTCTGAATAGAAAGCTTGATTAACAGTCTGACTTGGTGGAATGAACTTCAAATGCACTATCCCCCTGACATTAAAAAAAAAAGAGCATCTTCTTGATCTTTGATTTCACTTGACAAGCTTTTGGGGGCCAAAGTGACGATGGCATCTTCCACTGACTTGATTGATGTAAGGTTTCCTAAGAATAGCAGCATGTCTGGTCACAAGTAATGACCTTGGGGAAAAGCCTGGTCAAAAGCGCTGTTCTTTTGAAGCAGGACATGTTTTCGCTCGATATTCTTTCCTGGTCTGTCAGAACCTGAGGCACGACTTTTTCAACGACCTTTCTCATTCCCAAATCCTCCATTAAAATTTGCTGAACTGAGCTCCAAGATAGTCCAGATTCTTCCCCATCTCTTCAATGGTCTATAGTTGCTCTTCAAACACAAGTGCATGGATTTCTTTTTGGTATTTTCATCCATTTGGAAAGTTGACAGAAGTCCAGAACAAGGTTTGTCATCAATCGACACTTCACCTTTTTTGAACTGAGAAAATCACTTGCACACTTGAGTTTTCCCATTGTGCTGTCTTGTAAGCTGTGTTCGGCATCACAACAGTTTCTATGGCATTTATCCCAAGCATGAAACAAAATTTCACAGAATTTCATGCTGTTCTCTTAAATCAGCCATCACATAAAACAAGGTTCAAGCGAAACTGCTTTTATGAAAAAAATTCAGAGCGAACCTTCTCAAGTGATGCCACTGGGTGCACTAACTCAGAGAAAGTTGTTTGATGCTTGCCTAGTGAGAAAAATGTATACTATGAAAACTTCATCCAGTGGAGATATTTTTTTCAATTTTTTTGGTGGGGGTACCCCCTTGTACCTAAATGAAGCATGACCCACTGTCTTCTGTCGTCCTCTTTCCGCCACTCTGATGAAATGCTCACTCAGGGTCACCAGGGCCTTCCTCATCACCCAATCTCCCGCCCTCTTTTCAGGGACCCCGTCGGTCGTACAGTGGGTTACACACTGAGCTGCTAAGCACATGGTCAGCAATACAGCCTGGGAAACTCCATGGGGCAGTTCTTCTTGTGTTATCAGGTCTCTGTGAGTCAGAATGGACTCTGTGGCAGTGAGCTTGGTGCTTTTGTTGTGTTCGTTTTTGCGTTTGACTGTGTAGACCAGTGGTAACCAAACGTCATCATGCATAAGAATCACCAGCAGTGTGTTTGTTAAAAACGCAAAGTCCCTGGTCACACTCACAGAGCTTCTGACTCAGTAGGACCTGACTGCAGAGCCCAGGAGTATGTATTTCCAGGAGACAAACCAGGTGACAGAGATGCAGGGGCTCTCCAGAGGACACTTTGACCAATGCCGCATCCTTCTAGAAACCTGCGCCCTGTCCTTAGGTCTGTCTGCACTTTCCTGGTTCTCCTCCCTCCTTTAGATGATACTTTCTTAGGCTGCACTTCTTTCTTCTTGATCGGATTTTGGAAAGTTATTCTTCTTAGTGCACGCTTAGTGCACACATTCTCAGAATGAACTCACCCACCAAGAGGGCTGCAACTCCATGCCGACGATACTTAAACCAATGCTATCGATTCCAACCTCTCTTCTGGGACTTACGCTACATTTCTGTCTGGCTACTATCCAGTGCTTCCTAGGTTATCCCCAGATGTTCTCTATCCCAATGTGAATGTGCCACCAATCCCCAGAAGGTGTTCTCCATCCTGTGCTCCGAGTCCTGGTCATCTATAGATGGAGCCATTGGACCCAAAACCACATCATTTTAAAACCCCTTATCATCTTATCACTCCTCTTCTAATCCCATCACTCCTTTATCTAAACACTGGTAGTAAATCTTGATAAGTTCTTGTTTTTATTGCAGTTTACAAACTCATGATTTTGTCCTTGGGGGATCTGCCAAGCCATCCTCCAATCTACCAACAGTCTTATCTGCCATGGCTTCTTCATCTCTCTGCAACTTCTCTTTAACACCCTCACTAGTCCTGCCCATTTCAGCCAACTCATGGCAGTACCTGACCTTGTTGGGCTTCCCTCTTGCCCTGAAGCAGGTATCAGATATGCCTCCACACTGCACCCTTTCTTCATTTCCTTACAACTCTCCCTCCTATGGCCTTCTACTTCTACACTGGGTTTGATCATTCTTACATTGGCCTCACAGAATTCGCTGCCAATTCTCATGATTCAAGGGGTTTACTAGAGAGTGAATAGACTAACAACAGTCAGGATCCCTAAGCCATAAGGATAAGCATTGGTCCACAGCAACACCTCCCTTCAGCCAGCAATCAAGTCTCTCTCTGGTCCTCAGCCTCTCAGCCATTTGTTCCCTTGGTCTCTCCCTCCCTGGACCAGAAAGCCTGCTTTCCACTCTTCATCGCCCTGCTCCCCTTGTTGGGCACCACATCTCTGGTCTTCCACCCCTTCTGACACTGATCTCGAATGTGCTCGCCCAAAGGTCCTGGTCTCTCTCTCTGCAGCTGCTTCAAAGATGGTTGGTCCTTATAGCCAGGGGCAGGGGTTGGGGTGGGGGTTATAAGTAACACTGACCAGTCCCCTCTTTTCGTGTTGCACATTCCCTGCCTGATCATTTGATGAGAGTTACAGAGACAGGGTTAGAAGAGCATATTAAGAAATTTCATTATTTGGATTTCTTCTTTCCTCCTGTCTGTTTTCTGGATAGAAAGAGTCTCCTTGGCTTGCACCCATGATCTCCAGACACCATTTAAATGTCATCTCCTCATCTCCCCTCTTGCATGAAGGTCCAGACTTCTCAAGGCACAGCAATGGTGCCTTACTCCTCATTATATTTCCACCATGAAGCAATGTCTATCTAGCACTATAAACTTCATATGATGAATAAAGAAATGAACAGATGGTGAATGGGAGCGGCATTGCCTGAATGTGGCCCAATAAAACCGATTGCCTCTTATTTATTAGCTGGCAACTTGGTTCATAGCTTTAGCTTAGTGTTACCACTTTGTGTGATACTGCATCGTCTTCAGTCTGCATGTACATTTCCTGACAGAAAGGATCGAGTCCTTCTCCACTTTGTCTTACACATATGACCATGTTCACATATGTTTTCTTGATAAATGACAGTCCTAAAAAAAGGGAGTTTTCCTGCTTCCTGTAAAAAATGGGAATTAAAAAAAAAGCATAGGTGTTAGTCTGGGTTGACTAGAGAAACAAATCCAGAGACACTCGTGTGTGTGTGTGTGTGTGTGTGTGTAATAGAGAACTTTCTATCAGAGAATAATTGTATATCAAGAAAACAACCCAGTCCAGCCCAGATCAAATCCATAAGTCCAATATTAGCCCATATGTCTGATACCAGTCTATGAATTCCTCTTTACACTCACACAACACATGCAATGATGCCAAATGCAGGCAGTTCACAGGCCAGTGGGTGGAAAATCTTGTGGTTCCAGTGGCAGTGGAAGCATCTCAGTCCTGGTCTGTGTCTCCACCGTGCTCCTCCAGCTCCAGGGCTCTAGTGTAGCTCTATGTGTCTTGTCAATAGAAATGTCTCACAGGGAGCTGTGTGTCCTACCTCTAAGGAGGAAGATAAGAGTTTCCAGAACTCTCAGGAGGCCAGGACCACACAGAGGCCTTATTGGCTAAGACCTGGAGGCTAGATTCCGCCCCTTTGCAAGTTGACTGGAGATTATGGAGCTGCCACAGCATACTATGTAGCGAACACTGCCTGAACTAGACTCTGGAAGTTGATGCCTTTGGTCTGCCCTGTTGTTGACAACCTGAGACAGGCTCAATACCTTTCAAGTGATTGATGAATGGGATGACACACCAATAGCTCATCATGACTGTTCTGTCGTCTTTACACTCAGTTTTCTGCCACAAGGGTGCTGAAATGCATAACACTGAGATGCATTTGTGTTTGATCAATATTAGATCTATGCAGTGGTGGGATTCAAATAATTTAACAATTGCTTTGCTGCCCTAATGACTGTTTTAAGTATTAAAAGAACATATACTAAAAGGTAGTTTGTTATTTATTATTAAGTATACTAAAAGGTAGTTTATTATTTCAACATACCAGAACCCTGCAGTTGCGTGATTTCTACATTGGACGTCGGGTTCTATCAGCAAGAACTCTGATTACAAGTGCCTTTTTAACTACCTGTTCTCCAAACACAAGAAAATATTAGGTATTAGTTCTGCCAAATCGGTGCAAACCAGCTGAATCCCACCACTGGATTTATTGGTATGTGCTGTGTTTGGTGAGAATCTTCTGAAAAGTTTTCTTGTTAGTTTGTTTTTTTCATTATTTCTCAGCTATTCCACCTAAGAAACATAGATTATGTAATTTGTGGAAATAATACTTTTGTGGAAACCAGAAATTTATGTCATTGCTATAATATTACAGCTTTGTTTACAATAATAACCAACATTTTTGTTGACTGTTTCCCATGGACCGGGCACCCTATATGACTCAGCTCGCCCCTATCACACATGTACTCTTACTTTGTCCCCATTTTATAGATGAGGACCAGAGGCCGGATAGTGTAACCTGGCCCAGAGTCTCACAGCTATCAAATGCTTAGCCTGGATGGATGAGTTCAATTGTACTTTAGAACCAGGGTTCAACCGCTGGACGTGAGCAAAACAGGAGCGGGCTCTCTCACCAACGCTTGAGATGCTGCCTTCTGTCCCACAGGGTCAAGAAGCTGAAGGAGACCCTGGTGGCTGTGCAGCAGCTGGACAAGAACATGAGCAGCCTGAGGATGTGGCTCGCCCACATGGAGGCCGAGCTGGCCAAGCCGATTGTCTACAGTTCCTGTGACTCAGAGGAAATACAGAGAAAGCTCAGTGAACAGCAGGTACAATAACCAATGAAAAGTCTCAGGCCTGGAATGCCCATGCGCCTGGCTAGAGTGCAGGAGCGTGTGTGGGATGGGGAATGGGATGGAAGGGCAGGAGGAAAGTTGGCAGAAACGATGAGGCAAGGAGGCCTTGGCTGGGTGGATGTTTGGAGCAAGCAGGTACCCTGTCACAGCACAGAAACGAATTCTTAAGCAGACATTGTGCCACAATGACCTGCCAGGGAGCTGTTCTCAGACAACAGGTAAGATTGAACTGCCATAATGGATTCAAAAAGTACTGGTATTTTTTGTTGTTGCTTTATTTGTGAGTTATTGGCCTTAGAGTCCTGTATTGATAGTATTTGGGAAAGCTTGAAGAGATTTTCAAGTCAGGAAATGTTTGGCGTTGTAAGGATGATTGCCTGAATTGCAAACGACACATCTTCCTTTCACCTTTCTGTATGTAGCCAACACAGTGGATCTCATTCACTTGCACACACAGCCCCACAGAGCAAAAGAGCATGATGGTCCTACACACGAAAGCACATGCAGAAGAATGCCACCGACCCCTCCCCCCCCAAAAAAAAACGTATTCTGACCGAGTATGTCAGACTCTAATTGTGCATGACTGTTGCTCTGGTTAGGTCCCGCCAAGTCGGCTCTGAAACATAGCGAGCCCACGTACAACAGCGTGAAATGCTCCTTGGCCTGTGCCATCCTCACAAGCATTGCTAGGTGTGGATCCATGGGTGCGGTTCCTAGGTCAGTCATCTCAGGGAACGACTTCCTCTTCTTCCTGCCTCTCAACTACCAAACTTGTCTCCTTCTCCAGGAATTGCTTCCTCCTGAAAACTCGTCTAAAACGTGTAAGACTGAGTCTTACTAGCTCCTCTTCTAGGGAGGGTTCTGACTTTATTTCTTCTGACAGGTTTATTTGTTCTTCTGATTGATGTTGTCAGGTGCCATCAAGTGGGTTCCAGCCCATAGCGCCCCTAAGCACAATGGAACACCGCATGGTCCTGCACCATCTTCACAATGGTTCCTATGCCTGAGCCCAGTGATGCAGCCATTGTGTCAACATCACTCATTGAGCGCCTTTTTCTCTTCCACTGCCCCTCCACTTTACCAAACATGGTCCCTTCTCCAGGGACTGGGCTCTGCTTCCAACATGTCAAAAGTATGTAGGGTGAAGTCTTGCCATCCTTGCCTCTAAGGAGCACTCTGGCCTTACTTCTTCCAGTAAAAATTGGATTGTCCTTTTAGCAGTTCACGGTACTTTTAATACTCTTCTCTAGTACCACAATTCAAATGTGGTGCCTCTGATAGTCCTTGGTATATAATATAGTATAATATAATATAATATAAATATACCATGTTCATCTGATAGTCTATGGTATCTTAATTTTTCTTTGCCAACACCATAATTCAAAGACTTCAATTCTTCACTCTCCTTTATACCTTGACTAGCTTTCATATGTATATGAAGCAATTGAAAATACCCTGGTCCATTTTGAAACACACCATAAAAAACCAAATTCACTGCTACTGAGTCAATGCTGACTCATAGTAACCCCCTGTGGGTTTCCAAGACTAACTGTTTATAGGAGTAGAAAGCCCAATCTTTCACCCATGGAGCTACTGGTGGTTTCAAACTGCCAACCATGCAGATTACAGTTCATTGTGTAGCCACTACACCACCAGGGCTCCTGTCAATTGGCATACGTTAGAAAATTGTCTGTAGTGCGTCATTAATTCCCATAGAAATTCATGCTGCTGGTCGACTTTGGACTGCCCTTGAAAGTTCCTTCTAAATGACGGTTGCTTCCATTCCATTGGCACCACACTAGCCCTGATGCTTAACTTAGAAATGATTCGCTTTGATGAAATGCACATTGTACCTGTTTTTAAAAGAATTATTAGGAAAAATTACCATAAAATCATGTGTGTACTTTCTTTCTTAGATTCTCATTTTTAAACCAATGAGGATAGATGTCAAAAGACAGTTAAGTTCTGTTGTTGTTTGTATTTAAATTAGCATTTAAAAAGGAACATTAGGGCATTTTAAATTTTTTGTAAGTTTATTTCACTGGCAAGTGTACTGGTGGACTTTATAACTGACCCCTGATCATCTCCCAAGTTATTGTGAACAAGAGGATGCTGTCTCAGTCTGGGTTCACTAGAGAAGCAAGACCCATGGGTTTTTAGATTCCTACGTGAAGAGAGAAATTTATATCTAGAAAATGGCTCTCGCGGTTGTAGAAATGGGCCTGTCTAAATCCAGGCAGGTCCTGTGAGTCCCGGCGTCAGAGGAGTGGAGGATGGAAGCTAGAAAGAGAAGCCGTGATGGCTTAGCAGGGCAGAGGTGGCGGAAGCTTATACTTACCACAGAACTTTGAGAGCTCGAGAGTTGAAAAGCAAAAATTGGGCTGTCGATAGTTATGTAAAGCAGACACTGTCTTGAAAGTCTGAATAAGGAGCCGTCACTAAGTGGCTCAGTAGTTAAGAAGGTGGCTGCTACACTGAAGGTCAGAGATTCAAACCCACAAGCAACACTGTGGGAGGAAAGACCTGGCAGACAACTCCTCTGGGAAGTGTGGTCTGGGAAACAGTGGGGCAGCCCACCTCTACCCAATGGGGGAATTATGAGTTGGAATCAACTCAAAGTTAGTAGCACAACACCAGCAGCATCAACAAGCCCACAGAAAGGGTCCTAGTAGTTCAATGGTGAAGTATTCAGCTGAGAACTACAAGCTTGAGATTGGAACCCACCCAACCACTGCATGGGAGAAAGACCCGGTGACCCACCCGGGAAGTTTACAGCCTAGAAAACCCTATGGGGCAGCTGCACTCCATCATCTTAGGTCACTACGAGTTGAAATCAACATGAGGCATCCAACAGCATGACTGGCAGATCCTCCCCCAAGCCCAGGTCCCAACCCCCAAACCCACAGGGTCCGGTTGATTCTGATTCATAGCAGTTCTACAGAGGGCATCCAAGGCTACCAGAGTAGCTGGTGGACTGGAGCAACCATCCTCTTGGTTAGCATTCAAAAGCTCACCCAACAGCATCATCGAGCCTTCCTTCCCACACCCAGGTAGCCAGGCAACTCAGCTTCATTCATTCCAGGAAAAGACCAGAAAATGACTCTTTGCTGAAGGCAAGATAGGGAAGCATTGAGTTTAGAGATGCAAGGTGCAGCCAAGACTGGAGTCGATAGATTGAAAATGGAGGAATGAACTGAAAGACTCTACCAAATGCCATGACTCCCACAGCACCTCCCTGACATAGCTCTTAAGAGTGTCACTAGCCAGGCTTACCCCTGCAAGGAGGAGCTTGGAGGGTTTGTCTCTGGAGAAACTAATCAGACCAAAAGCATAGACGTTCAGGTCGAGATATTCTGCGAGCCTTGCATGGTATAAAAGGCTAATGTTCATGGTTCCTAAACACAGTTGTGGGTTTTTTTCCAAGTCTACCCAGAAAGAAAGGTCTGACAGTCTACTTCTGAAAAATCACCCCTACCCCCACGCCCCACGCTCCCCACACACAAAGAGAGAAGACAAGTAAACTCACTGCTATTGAGTCAATGGCATCTATAGGACCAGGGAAAACTGCCTCTCTGAGTAGACAGGAGTAGACAACCCCATATTTCTCCTGGAGAATGGCTGGTGGTCTCATACTGCTGACCTTGCGGATTGCAGCCCAAGGCGTAACCACTACACCACCAGGGGTCCTCTGAACAGTCACAGCTCTTGGACACTGGTGTACAGCCCTATTCAGATGGCCGTGAGGTCACCGTGAGTTATGGTGGACTTGACAGCAGCTGTGTGATTTCTTTCACTCCTGTTCTAACCTGCGGTAACAGCCATTGAGCTTTAGTAGGTGGACATGACTGTTTCCATGGAGGAGAGGTCAAGGTGGAAAGGACACTGACTATATTCCAAGCACTAGAGAGGGGCATCATGCCTGGGAAAGTAGAGGCTCAGTGAAAAAGCTCTTCAATGAGTTGAGTTGTCACAGTGGCCGTGACAATGGGCTCAGACATAGCAACAATTGTGGGGATGGTGCTGGACTGAGCAGTATTTTATTCTGTTGTACAGAGGTTCCCTGGGTTGGGACCAACTCCACAGTCCCTAGGACACAATAGTAGATTGGGGCATTTTATTATAGTCTTAAAATTAGTTTTCTTGCCATATAATTCATCAACCATATAACTTTTGATTAAATTTTAAAATTTGTTGTTGTTGTTTTAAATGGTGTCTGGGTTTCAACCCTGACCTTCGCCACTTTGTATCATATTGCCCTTGACCAAAGGGCTAGCCAGTTTAACCCTCGCCTTCCTTAATTATAGACGTGGATAATCATGGTATAATATACATCACAGTGGTCTTATTTAAAAAGTTGATGAGAAAAGCATTTAACACAGTGCCTATATCACCAAGTGAGTGTTTGGTATATTTTATTTTAGTCCTATCATGTTTATTACAGTTTCCTCTGTGGGAAATGCTTGAGACTGATCTGTCAAAACTGGACCATTTGGACTCTTTGTTTTAAAAGACAGATAATGGTATTCTGTTGCCAAAAGAGGGAGACTCTGAAAAATATTGAAGAGATAAAATTCATCAGAAAGGCATTTTCTTCTACTTCCCTACATGGAGGTTTTTGTCTATTTTTTTTGTTAATGTAGTAATATTTTACTGATTTAAAAGGTCAAAAACATGTGGCCTAAGGATGACTGTGTTAGTCTGGGAAGACCAGAGAAACAAATTCATTGACACTCATGTATATAAGAGAGCTTTATATAAAGGAGCAATTGTATACTGAGAAAACATCCCAGCCCAGTCCAGATCAAGTCCATAAGTCCAATATTACCCCATATGTCCGATACTAGTCAATAAATTTTTCGGTGGGTAGAAAGTCTTGTGGATCCAATGGGCCTGGAAGTATCTCCAGGGCTCTTGTCTGCCATCAGTGTGGCTCCATGTGGCTTGTCAACAGGAAGGTGAAGCAGAGAGAAAGT